CCCGCGCCGAGCGGTTTGGGGGGTTATTTCTGCCTCCTGCTAACATCTGGCTTCCCTCCCGCAGTGTTCCCCCTCTCCTGCGCGGTGCAGAACTATTCGTGGGGCAAGGTAGGCCTGGAGAGCGAGGTGGCCAAGCTGCTGGCAAGTGGTGACCCTCTGGTCCAGATCCAGCCTGACCGGCCCTATGCCGAGGTGAGTACATCTGTGTGTCCATCCCCTCCTTATGTCCCTCCCTGTGTCCATCCCATCTGTGTGTCTGTCCCACCCGTGTGTCCATCCCTTCTGTGTGCCCATCCATATGTTCATCCCCTCTGTGTGCCTGTCCCCGTGTCCATCCCATCTATGTCTGTCCCATCTGTGTCTGTCCCATCGGTACTGTCCCGCCCATATGTCCATCCCAGTTGGCTGTGTCTCTCACCATCCTCAGACCCCCCACTCGTCCCCTACATTCCTGGGGGGCTGCCCAGGTTGGAGGGAAGCCCAGTGTGACTCAGCCCCCGAGGGAACCTCCTTGGCCACATGGATCACCTCCAGGGCTCAGCAGCCTCTGGAAAAGCCCAAGTCATCTGTGCTGGCTGCCCAGTTCAGGGTTGCTGACAGGTCTGTGTGTCTGTGTCCCGCAGCTGTGGATGGGCACACACCCCCGGGGTGATGCCATCATCCTGGATAACCGCATCCCTCAGAAGACCCTGGGCCAGTGGATTGCTGACAACCCTGCCTGCCTGGGGGCCAAGGTGAAGGACACCTTCCAGGGACAGCTGCCCTTCCTCTTCAAGGTGCTCTCAGTCAACACTGCCCTCTCCGTCCAGGCACACCCCAACAAGGTAGGGAGAACCCCGGGTGGGCACCTTGGCTGGACCCCATGGCCCTGGGGAGGTCTCCCAGCTCCTCTCCCCTCTGCAGGAGCTGGCAGCAAAGCTGCATGCACAGTTCCCTGAGCAGTATCCTGATGCCAACCACAAACCCGAAATGGCCATCGCCCTCACACCCTTTGAGGGCTTGTGCGGCTTCCGGCCCGTGGAGGAGATCGTCTGCTTCCTCCAGAGTAAGGAGGGAAGGGCAGAGCCTGGGGTGGGCATGGTGGCTGTGTCCCTTGGGATGGGGTTTAGGGTGGAGACAGTGCTCCCTTGGGATGGGGTTTGGGGTGAGGATGGTGCTCCCTTGGGATGGGGCTTGTGGTAGGGACAGTTCTGTCTTGGGATGGGAGTGCTCGCTCTGACTGGGGCTGTGCTCCCTGGGATGATATCCCTGGCTCTGACTGGGCTGTACTGCCCTGGGATGGTGTCCCTGGCTCTGACTGGGCTGTGCTGTCCCTGCAGACGTGCCCGAGCTGCGGGCACTGATTGGAGCGGTGGCCGCGGAGCAGCTGGAGCGCAGCGGCAGTGATGACCCCCGCGGCGTCTCAGCCGCTCTCCGTGTGTGCTTCACTCGCCTCATGAAGAGTGAGAAGAAGTTCTTCGTGGACCAACTCAACATGCTGGTGAAGAGGATCTCCCAGG